AAACTACAACACCCTAAAAACACCCACATGAGCGTGCAAACACGGAACTGCACATTCACAAAGCATATTTTATAGGTCCACTGACTCCAGTGTAGACACTTGGCACAATCACTCCGGAGGAACGCCGTCACCCACCATCTCACACACACGCACACACAACTCCAGGAACTCGCTAAGCCCGTTCTACACGTTTTACAGATGGGGAAATCGAGGCACCAAGCCACTGAATGGCCCTTGGACAAGGACGGGGCGCCTCTTGGCTCCAGACAGAGCCTCGGTCCGGTCGCCCCCTGCCGGTCGGGCCCCGTCAAGAGCGCGCGGGGTGCATCGGCGCGCACGCGCGGGAGGGGGGGCTCGGGCGCGCAAGCGCGCGGGGGGCGGACACGCGCCTGACGTAACCATGGCATTCTCCTGGCACGCGCGGCCAGCGCGCGGGGAAGGCGGGGCCGGCGCGTTGCCATGGCGCCGGCGGGCCGCGTGAATGGGGCATTGTTCGCCGCGGCGCCCCGGCCCGGCTGTTCTGGACCTACTGGATCCCGCAGACAGAGACAAGAGAGACAGAGATGGAGAGAGATGGGAAATAAGGAGAGATCGGGAGAGAGGGTGGGGAGAGATGGAAGGAGACAAGTGCATGGGGAGAGACAGCTGGGGAGAAACTGAAAGACAGGGAGAAAGAGAAATAGGACGGGAAACGATGCTAAGGGGGATCATGGATAAGGAGAGACAGGGGTGGGAGAAATAACATAGAAAGAAAGAGAGACATGATAGGAAGGCAGAGATGGGGCTACATGAACAGAGGCACCAAGTGCTGAGAGAGACAGAGAGTTGGGGATCTTCCTTGGAGAAAGACCACAGGCAAGGAAGGACAGATAGCAGGAGAGGCAGTGCTGGGGGTACAGATGGAGGGCTGGATATGAAAGCGTGATGTGGAGGTGGCCAGAACCAGCCACCCAAGTATTCACAGACCCTTCTGGGTCCAGAGACACAGTGGACACAGAGAGATGTGGAGAGGTGGCAGGTCAGAAACACCAAGAGCTGAGAGACTGAAATGAGAGAAATGTCGATCCCAGCTGCCCTGCTGTTCACTAATCTCACAGCCACTGCCCCACCCAGTGCCTGGTCACGCCTGCCGCCTCTCTCCTCTCAGGACCATTTCTCTTTGACACACCCACAAAGCTCTCCCTCTGTCCTACATGTCTACACACTCCCACGGACAACACACCATCCCCATGGGGACCTAGCCTTCGGGAACACTGCCTTCAACGTGCCAGAGTACACCCACCTGGACAAACATACCCCACGGACATTGTGACATCTAGCTCATATGGTCCCAGTCACACGTATGGGCGCAGTCACGACACCTAGGGACACTTATGGATATAAGCAGACTCTTGTCATTCTTTTTTTTTTACTCTTGTCATTCTTATCAGAAGGATTCACACAGGAACTCCTACCCGTGTCAGAGGGCACAGTTGTAGACATAGCCCTGCAGGCAGGCACATAAGGAAGGACATAGGCCTGCATAAGCGTTGTCCAGTGTGGTCAGATACATTTATATCCCATCGCAGAGCCCACAAGCTCCACCACACTCTTGTCATTTCTCCCCTGGACAGGAATTCATACACTCACTAACATCCCCCAGACACACAAGCCTCTCCTACGCTGCATTTGGTCCACTGACATTAGGCAAGGGTGCAGGTTCCAATATTTCACTTTGAGTTGGTGGAAGGTGGTCCGCCAGTGGCTACAAGGGTGGGGAGAGAAAGGTGAAGCCCAGCTGCCAGTGGTCCAAAGGGTTAAATCAGGTCAAGCCAGGCTAGTCCCCGGCTAGTCACATCCTGGGTCAATTCAACCCAAATTTGGACCAAGGGTGTCCCCTGGTGGTCATGATGGGTCTTTGCGCCCATCTGTGAAAAATGTAATGGCTTAGGACCCCAACAGAGAGCAGACCCAGGCTAGAGCTTAGCACATAGAGTATGAATTCAAGATCGCGGGTCCAGAAGTGGCACCCCAGACCTGAAAGTTCAAATGCGATCCAAATCCCAGAATTCTGGGTCCACATCTAATAACCCAGAATTGATCTATAGCGCCTATATCCCCAGATTCAAAGATCCAGACCTCAGAATTTAGAATATGAAAATCCAGGTCTCAGGATCCAGCTCAAAGAACCTATACTCTAGACTCTAAACCACTAAACCTCACAGTCCAGAATTCTAGACCCAAGATTTAAAAACTCATGTCCCAGAACTACCTCTCTAAACCTAGATCCTAGAATTCATAATCTAGAATCTAGGCCCTGAAATTCCGGTTTGGGCTCAATGCCCAAAAATTCATGTCCCAAAGCCTGGGCCCCTGCCTCCCCAGAGCCCTGTAGGCTAAGCTAAATGGGTGCAGTAGAAATGAAGCAAAGTGGGCTGGAGAGGAGCCCCACAGTGACAGAGTGTGTGAAACAACAGCCGTTTCACAGCTGCAGCCCTTTCCTAGCCTGGCTGTATCTGCTTACACACACACACACACACACACACACACACACACGGGTACCTTTGTACACAGGACTGTGGCAAGGGGTCAATGTGTCAGAGAAGGTGAAGCTGGCTCAGGATAAGGCAAGTTTCAGAGCCTTTGTTCTTAGGGTCGCTAGGAGTCATAATCAACTCTACAGTAAAAAACACCATCCATAGGAAGACCTGCATTCTAGACACACTGACTGTGGTGTCAGAAGTACAGTGTCACACACCCTTGAAGACTCTCGATCACACACATAGATGTTCACATGCACAAACACACTACACCCTAACCCATACCATCCTCCAGAGAAACAGAACAGCCACTCATTTTGCTTTCTGCACACAAACATACACTCATCTGGACACCCACCTGGCCATCCCCACCCAAGCTCAGAGCATACAGTCGTCCAATGCAGACACACAAACCACCCTCCAGCCATGTAGACAATTTGTAGAATCTCAGGGGCTAGGACAGACGTGTGGGCACAGCCACATAAGCACGTGCGTGCACGCGCACACACACACGCACACACACAGCACGGAGAAGCCCTATGCCTTGGAAGCCATGCAGCCCCTGGGACCGGGACCCCCGGGAAGAGACTCACAACGCACCACCGTGCCCACCCCCACGCTCCCCCGCCCGGCCGGCTGGCGGGCTTTAATACAGATGCCAAACTCATAATTGTAACTGAGGGTGACAGGGTCACCTTGAGCCCCAGATGCTCGCGCAGTGACAGATGGCGTTGGCAAACCTGATTAGCAGCCCCTGTGCCAGCGCCTGTGGCACCTGCATCCCAGCCCCTCCCCCGCTCCCCCACCACTCATTACCCACCCATTACTGGGCTTGAGGGGCAGAGGGTGGGGGCTGGCTGGCACCACTCAGGAGGGGGCAGGAACTCTGGGGCCCCCTGGCACCAAGGTTCCCAGCTGGCTCCCCTGGCTGGCAGGCGGTGGGCACAGCTGAGGGAGTCGCAGGCACCTCAAGCCGGCCAGAGAACGGGGTGACTTCGATGCCAGGGCTGATGAGCTGCTTGCTCGGACGCGACTTGGGGTTTGGTGCTAGACCTTGAAGGGGGGAGAGGCTGCCCCCCAAGGCACCCCATGACTCCCCCCTTGGGGCTTTTCTAACAAGGCCTTGGGAGCCAACAGCATGGCCTGTTCCCATCTCTTCACGCTGTCCTTTGGGGTCAGAGGTCATGGGCTCTCACGCCCCACTGGCCCATCTGTTTCCTCGGGTCCTCCCTCCTGCTCCGCTCACCTGGGGCCTTCCTTCCTGAGGCAGGAAGAGGGCTGAGGGGGCCCAGCTACCCGCACCCCCCACCTCGCGCTCCGGGGGGCATTTGGAGGCAACCCTGATGGTACCACATGGCCCGGCGTCTGTGCCAGACGGGCCCATCTGCTCAGAATCTGCTTCCAGCCGTCCAGCCGCAGACCCCGCGCCCCTCGACGCCCATGCCCGAGCTCACGGCGGGAAGAGACACGCACACAGCTGGGCTCTGCGACCTTTATGGCTGCCCTGTGCAGACTTGCGTGGGGTGGGGCCGTCCAGGGAAGGGGTAACCAGAGCACGTGGGTCCCTGCCTTGTGGTCCGGAGTCCCTGCTGAGCCCCAGCAGCTGTGTCAGCCTGTGGGCCTTGGCCTATGGAGTCACCTCCTCGTCTAGGGGGGCTGTCTGTCCTCCCAGAAACTGGGAGTGTGTCTGACGTTGTGCCTAATGATTATTAAAAGCCAAGCCGGGAGGTCCAGACTTCCTGGGGTCAAATCCCAGCTCTGCGGTTTACTGAGGTGTGACCCAGTCCGAGTGAGTTTACCCCTCTGGGCCTCCATGTCCTCATCTTTAAAAACAGGGTGATATTAACCCTTGTCTGGTAGGGCTGCAGGGAAGCATGCCACTCAGAGCAGGCCAGGCTGGCAGTGAGGGGTCAGGAATGGGGTACCCTGCTGAGGAATAGTAATGGGCTCTGGCAGTACAGCTGTTCAGGGCTCAACTGTTAACTTAATGTTTGATTGTTCCAACCCACCAGTGGTTCCTCGGGAGAAAGATTGCATTCTGCGTTCATAGATGCAGCCCTGGACTCCCTCCCATGCTGTTCTACTCTGTCCTAGGGTCATTATGAGTCACACTGGAACAAACAGGGAGATGGTTTGGTTGCTCTGAGGGAGCTCCGGTGGCCCAGGCTGTAAGGGGTTGTGCTGGTAACCCAAGGCCACACCTCTCTGGAAGAAAGATGGGCAATCTCCTCCTTTGGGAATTGGCTGGAGAATCAGCTATGAATGGATTGTGACTTGAGGAGAGAAAGATATTAGCGTTCCAGCCCATGGCTGGGCCTTCATCCAGGGTCCCCGGAGCAGGGAGGGCTCAGGGCTGCCTGCACCCCAGGTCTCTGCACGCTGCGTGCACCATGTAGGCCTGGGACGTCCTCTGCCCGTCCGTCTCCCTCCGCCAGGTCTGGGTCTGGGTCTGGGTCCTCTGTATCGTCCGCGGCGTTCAGCTCAGGGTTTTGGTCTGCACCGACACCCCTCAACCAGCACGGTGGGCACCTTCACTCGCCGACGGGAGGCCGGGCTGCCCGTCCAGCACCACAGGGCCACACGCGTCCAGCGTTTGCGAGTGGGCAAGCAGCTGCTGCAGAGGACGATCGGAGAGGGGTCCGAGCTGGGGACGTAGAAGGAGGAGCAGTGTCCAAAGCAGAGGTGGTTGCGGAGGCGGACAGATGTGCAGCCGGGCCGGGAGAGCACCTAGGGCCAGAGGCGGAGCGACAGGTCAGGGCAGTGGGGTCTGGGGTCAGAGTGGCAAGAATGATCCGTGTCCACTTCCACCATCCTCAAGGGGGAGAAGGGGGTTTGGACACTGGAGCTGGGCTGCCAGGGTTCAAAGCCTGATTCTACCCTCTACTGGCTGTGTGACCAGGGGCTAGTGACTCAGCCTCTCTGTGCCCCAGTTTCCTCACCTGTAAAACACTGAGGTTCAACCAGGAAGAAAAACATGAAACCAATCTAAGTCTTTGCATAGAGGACATTTATGGAAGAACTTGGTTATTCAGGGAACGGAAGGACGGACGACTTAGCAAGAGAGGACAAGGCCACAGTAGAACCAGCAGGAAGCCACTGCCATGCAGGGCAGGGACATGATGAGGCAGGGCGGTCTTGTCAGAGGGAGTTTATCAGAAAGTACTTCACTAACTACGGTCCCGACCTTAACGTCTCCCACTATCCCTTGCACGAATTCTGCCCCAGCCAACTGGCCTCCTCCATGTTCGTCCAATAAAACTCAACTCCTTCAGTCTTGCTGTGCTCTCTCCCTGGGCTACTCTTACCCACTCCTTCCACTCTTATTGCAACTCAACTCACCTTTCCTCCCTAAAAGGCACGTCCAGGTGCGCCCCTTGGTGGTGGTATATCTCATAGCACTCTACTTTCTTTGTGGTACTCATTTGTAATTTTTCTTTCTTATTAGTGTTTAATTTTTTTCATTTATATTTTTGCTGCTTGCTCTGCATCTGAGGGCTGGACGCTGAATACAGATGACAGAAGAAGAATTGATGCCTTTGAACTGTGTTGTTGGAGAAGAGTCCTGAACATCTCATGGGCTGCTAAAAGGACAACCACATCTTGGAGACAGTGCAGACAGAGTGAGCCTTGGAGGCAAGAACGGCAAAGCTTCATCTGACATTCTTTGAACATGTTGTTAGGAGAGACTGTTCCTTGGAGAAGAACATCATGCTTGGAAATGTCAGCAAAAGAGAGAAAGACCTTCAACAAGATGCATTGACACAGCTTCTGCAGCAATGGGCTCAAGTGTACCAGAGGTGATGAGGGTGGCACAGAGGAGGACAGGGTTCAGGTCCCTCGTCCTTAGAGTCACAATGGGTCGTACTCAACGGCACCCAAGAACACCGACTTTGGAAATCTAAAACAGCAACAGGCAGAGTTAGGAGAAGATAGAAGACAGTCCACTTGAAGGAAGCAGAAACTGGAAAGAGATAAAGACTTTTATCCAGAGCCAGCAGAGAAAGAGAGAAAGCCTTCCTTAGAGCCAGTGCCCTGAATTTGAACTACTTGCGCCCTGAACTGTGAGAAAGTAAATGTGTTTGCTAAAGTCACCTCCTTGTGGTATGTCTGGTACAGTAGCATGAGCTCCTAAGATAGCACCTCTCTAGGATGACTGTAGCTCTGAGAAAGTGAAGCTGAATGCCTGCTTGGGACCCCTTCTGCTGCATACATTGTGTGCAACTGTCCAGAACAGGCCTGCAGCTAGCAGGTAAGAGGCAGCACAGGGTTCTGACCCCAGAGCCGAGCAATCACTGCCACATCGCACAGCCTCTCTGAAAAGCCTTGCTAAGTGAGGGGTCCTCTGCCACGTACAGTCTCAAGCATTTTGCATGAACCCTCCACTGCTATTAACACCATTTCTCCAAAGTAGGCATTGAGGCTCAGAGACGAGAAGTGACTTGACCTGGGTCATGCAGAAATCAGATGTTAAGGCCGAATTTTAACTCAGGTGCACTTATCCATTGCACCACGCAAATTCCCACAGGCGTCCCTCATTCATGGAGCTGCCACTGAAGGCAGCTGTGAGGGCTCCCCAGGGCCACCTGGCAGGAGCTCGTACCCCTTAGGAAGCAGGGACTAGTATTCATTCATCCAGCACTTACCGAGCACCTACTGTGTGCTAGCTTTGCTCTGAAGCCTCGGGACAGAGACACTCGTGAACAAGTCAAAAGAAAAGTTCTGCCCTGGTGGAGTGCAAAGATTCTCGAAAGGGAATTAGGTTTATAATTATTACAAAATGGTAGATGTTGCTGTGTGCTACAAAGGAAACAGGAGAGTCGTATGGGAGGTATGACATTTAAAAACAAGTGTCTTTGGGTGAAAAGGTGAAGGATGAACAAGAATGAACCATAAAGCTGTCTGGGGTTAAAGAACATGGGGGGGGGAGCATTAATCATAGGGTCACACAATTTGATGGGTGGAGGAGGAGTGAAAGAAATGGGAAAGATCCAGTGTGAAAAACAATGTATTCTTACTTTGTAAATAAACCAGTATAAAATAAATGTTAAAAAAAAAAGCATAGCAGTGCAAAGGCCCTGCAGTAGATAGATGTAACCTTGATGTGTTGCAGGAACAGGGTGGAGGGCCAGTGAGGCTGGAGCTGTGAGGGTGAGGCGAGAAGAGAGCAGAGGTGTCACTGAGATGAGAGCTTGAAGGGCCTTGTCTGCAGTGGGGAGGACTTCTGGGCTTTTGTTCAGAAGGAGGTGGGAATCCTGGAAGGTTCTGAGCAGATGGACCTGAAGAGACTCAGGTGCTCATGGTCGCCCTCTGGAGGATGAATAGAGAAAATAGGCAAAAGATTGCCAAGACCAGAAACAGAGCGGGGGTGGAAATAACTGCATTGACAGGGCAAGACTTAAGCCCCATTTACAGAAGGTGAAACTGGCTCACAACCATCTAGGCTGAAGAATCAGGACTTGAACCCTGGACTTCCCAAGGCTGGAGCTTGTGCTGTTTGCCAACAGGGAGACCCAGTCCTTTTCTCCCCCATGCACTCACCTGAGTGAAGGGCCTGGCTTTGCATGTCTCGTAGGCCACTTCCCGAGGGTCTAGTGGCAGAGACACAGTAGTGGCAGTGGCCACCTCCTGCCCACCCTGCACGGTCTCCAGCCACTTGGTTTTCTGCAGGCCCAAGAAGGCTTTCCAGCTGCCGAGGGCAGACACTGGCCTCTGGGCTCCCGGGACCTCCTCACTTAGAACCCAGGTCGTGTTCTGAGTCCAGGGCTGCCGTGGGGGGCCCTGGGGTACAAATGCCAGGCCTGCACCTGTGGGTGGCCAGGTCCAGCTGAACAGGCACAGCAGAGACAGCCGGCAAAGCGGCATCTGCTTGTCTGTCTGTCTGTCCATCAGTCTGGGATTGGGCTCAGGATCCTGTGCAGTGGAACCTGCTGTCTGGTGAATGGAGGAGGTCTGGGCCCTCTGGACCCCTTTACTTCCCTTGCCCCCCACCTGTGCAGTGTGGGAGCGGCCTCTGTAAACCCACAGGGAGGAATGTAAACTGGGCCCTGCTGTGTTCCCACCCCGCCCCCTAGCCTGGGGGCTGAGCTGAGTGTGTGTGGGCTGTAGGGACCAGACAGGCTGACTTAGGGACAAGGTGCTGAAGGACACAAGGCCTGGGTCTTTAAGAGAATGCTTTCCACCATCGCAAGAACATGGAAACAGCCCAAATGTCCAACCACAAACGAATGGATTGAGAAATTATGGTACATTCATTCACACAATGGAATACTATGCAGCACGCAGGAGCAATAACTTTGTAAATTATTACCTAACTTGGGAGGGACTGGAGAGCATTATGCTTAGTGAATGAACTCAGCCCCACAAGGATAAATATTGTATAAAACCATTATTGTAGAATGAGTATAAGGATCCTGGAGGGATGGGAGTTGTCCAATTTGATGGGGGGGGGTGAGAGAAATTGAAATAATTTGTTCAAATTTGTATTTAAATTTTGTAAATAAACTAGTAGAAAAAAAAACAAAACGAAACAGAGAGACTGCTTTCCTTGTCCTGGGTCCCCACCATTCACTTCATAACATCTGAGTCTGTGGGGATTAAAATCACGGCATCTGACCCTTGCTAAGGAGCCACGGGGGAGTCCCTTGACCACTATGGACCTACACTTCCTCTTTTGTAAAACAGAAATAATAACGTAATCCTCCTCATTTAAATGAACATTTATAGAAATTTTGGATCTCCATTCATTCATTGTTGCACTTTTCTCCCTGCCCACCCCTCCCCTCCCAGTTCACTCCTCTCCTTGAAAAGTAAAAGAAAAATTCCTTCATTGGTATACGATCTCCACCCCCCACCCCAGTACACTCCACTATGCAACCTTCATTCTGACTCTTATCATAACCATAATACTCAATCATATATCGCTTTTAAACTGTTCTCTCCCTCATCTGTTTCAATGCAATATACATAATTTATCCCATCTTTCTCAGTCTCCCC